GCAGATGAGGATGTTGTTCAGCCGACTGACGACGTTAAGAGTGGAACTGATCAATATTGCAATCGGAATGGCTAACTCACTCCGACTTTGTAGTAAAATACAAGAAATGGTGCACAATGTATGACCCATAAGTCACGAAAGTTAGTACGTTGTGGCACAGGGAATGCATGTCTTGCGTGTTTACTGCAGTAGAAGGTTGGAAGGTAACACGGAAGTAAGTGACATAACCATGTGGACCAACGGTTCACCTGGACTCAAGTTCTAAAGTTTTAAACACGCACTGTAGTTACAGGTAAACAAATAAACAAGAACAATGTTCATTGGATTATTGGCGGATGGTTATGGCCTGAATCTACGTCAGCATCCTTCAAACAACTTCATTGTTTACGCAGAACATGTTGAACATTGAAAAAAACATCAACGGAAATTGCGTGCTCTTTGAAGCAGGGCTTGAATTTCTTGAGAATAAATACTGCGACGTTCAAATTAACATTGTGCTTCTATCAATAAGTCCTGTTACGAGGTGAAAATACTTCTGTCTCATTATACAGACAGGGTGCCGTATTTATAAAGAATTTGAATACAGGTTAATGTGCTGGAGATTGAAACAGGATGCTACTGTGGGGAAGCGAAATAACGAAAACCACTGGAGCTACTGTTCGTTAGATTCGTGTAAACATGCCGAGCTCCATTCAAAATACATTCAGAATAAGAAGCCGCTTTTGTATATTCTGATTGGTTTCGATTCTTTGATAATATTATGTTAACAGTTCATATTACCAGAAATAATCGTAACATGAATCTCTCCTGGTCTCATCACACTGACATAACATGGCACTGTTGGGTTGAGAGATGCCTTTGTATGTTGACTAGAAGTTCAAGGCTGAAAACACAGACATCTGCCCTCAGGAACAGAGAAAAGGTAACACGTGGAGTTAGATTTTTGAACTGTTTATTTATAAAACAAACACAGCTGATCGTCCCATGTTGTATGTACAGCAGTCTGAGTGACACATCGAATACTGGGACAGATGAAGTAGGAAACTCAGCTACATTTAACCCTCGTATAGACCGGACTCTGGAACACCGGATTAATACCTCTTGGAAGGTCTTAACGTCTGTTAATATGATGATATTACCCCGTATATGGTGTCCGTAGATCCGGACTCTTGTCTTTCTTGACCGTTTCTACTGGAATATATTGGTTTGCTGCTTCTGCTTCCCGGCACATTGTATTCGTATCCTGCAATATTGTATAGCTATCTCGACATACTGTATTCCTAGCCTACAGAATTGTATTCCATCCTGCACCATTGTATAGCTTTTCTGAAACATTGTGTTACTATGCAACATTGGTTTCGTTGTTACTATCTGAATTAAATGCAGATACCCGTGAAATAGTTCATTCAATCAAATTCTAATAACGTTTCCATCAATAAGTGGAAAATGATCAATTGATGCAATGAGATATAGAGAAAGTGTATTTGTACAGAAGTAGATAGGGTTCACAGGATGACCTCAAGAGATCAGATTGTTACAGTGAAACATTCCCCAATCACATAGTGTTATCTGGTAGTATTCTTGTATGACTTTAACGTCATTTATATCAATTACTTGTTCATTGCTTACAACTTCAGTACTGAGGGGGCTTTGGCGTGTTGAAGAAGATTAAGGCACGTTTATAGTGACAGCAATATATACACGTTTACTCAAAAGTATTTAATAAAATGTCCAGGTCGCTACTAATGCATCCATTTACTAGTGAACAAATACGCATTATTCATCGAGAAGTGTGTGAACTTATGACTGGAAAGATGTTGGTCGTGTGTATGAAGTCTCTGCGTTTTATAGGAAGATGACAGTTGTGTCTCCAGATAGCAACAAACTACATTTGAATACTTAAAAACCAATCAGCTTTGGGCAAAACTGATACAAGATACTTTAAACATCCAGTTTGAAAAGGAGCGATTGTAAGCTCCTGGAGTCGTGATTATTTTAGCATATTGAGACAAGTTCCACAAAGACACAAACCTAGGATTTCCACTGTGTCGTCTTTACTTATGACAGTTGCAATACTACTGCCACAACTGCATTATGTCTGAATCATTGTAAGATAACGTGTATGTACTATACTAAAGTACTATCGGAAATAGAAAAGAAACTGTTTTTTCACATTTATATCTACAATTTAGGTAGTTAATATGTGAAAATATCTGTTAAACTAAGATCGGCCTAACTACAGTCTCAGTGGTAGGGAGATAGGAAACTCAAAAAGGATTTTACTGAGGAGAGATTAGTACAGAAATGAGCAATGTGGGTTTTTTTCAAAGTTCAAAGCGACTTATTTAGAACAGACCATGGCTTTATGCAAATTAGTGTGCGATGATTCTGTATTACAAAAGACACTTTTTAAAAGCCCTTTTTGAAATTAGACTTAGCTTTATTATAAACGATAGCTGACGCAAAAACATAATAACTTTAATACTAAAACTATTAAGGATGTAGCTACCATGGAGTCTGACTATCACTATAAAAAGAAACAGGTAGGAGGGGTCGTCTCAAAAGCAAAACCAGGACGGGTGTCGCAGACTGTGGTTGGGGTCGGGCTGGGGAACAGAGATATCAGCTAAGATAAGGTAATCCTTTAGGGGAATTAAACTGGGGAAGTAAACAGCATGTCATAACAATTTACAAATACTATCCAGTCCTGTCGATCTTCGGGAGGTCATGCCACCTGTATATTTTGAGACATTTAATACGATGCTGATTTAAGCTTTTCTATGGGGATCATACTCTTTTACATATCTCAACATAAACCTTATGATAGAAAGACACGTCAGATGTTCATTAATGAAGACACATGAAAAAACCCATAAAATATGTTTGAGATGACCCCTTGTGCCTATGGGCAGCACATGCATTTCATGGCAGGTGACTGAACGGTCCGTCGTCATACCTGGCTGACCGACCTAATTGCCATCTATAGTCTGATCTATTGTTTTCAGCAGCTATTCGTATTTTTTCTAATTTTTGCCCGATTTTCCGAGTAAACATGCTTTTCTGGATGTCCTTTTTACGCATCCCACTGAACACCCAGTTAGGCCGACTTGGGTTATTTCGACATATGCTATTTGCAGTTGTGTATATGTTTGGAATACAGAGAAAAAAGACTAAAAACAGTTTTTTTTATTTCCGACAGTACTTTAGGTCTGTATTTACTACAAGATAACATGTACTGCAATATATCTGTTTTATTGTAAGATTACATGTATGTACTACATTATGTCCGTATTACTGTAAGATAACATGTATTTACTGCATTATGTCTGTATTACTAAAGGTAACATGTATGTACTACATTATATCATTATGTCTGTATTACTACTGTAAGATAACATGTATGTACTACATTATATCTGTTTACTGTAAGATAACATGTATGTATGTACTACAGATAACATGTATGTACTACATTATATCTGTTTTACTGTAAGATAACATGTATGTACTACATTATGTCTGTATTACTGTAAGATAACATGTATGTACTACATTATATCTGTTTTACTGTAAGATAACATGTATGTACTACATTATGTCTGTATTACTTACATGTATGTAAGATAACATGTACTGTAAGTAACTACATTATATCTGTATGTTTACTGTAAGATAACATGTATGTACTACATTATGTCTGTATTACTAAAGATAACATGTATGTACTACATTATATCTGTTTTACTAAGATAACATGTATGTACTACATTATATCTGTTTTACTGTAAGATAACATGTATGTACTACATTATGTCTGTTTTACTGTAAGATAACATGTATGTACTACACTATATCTGTTTTACTGTAAGATAACATGTATGTACTACATTATGTCTGTTTTACTGTAAGATAACATGTATGTACTACATTATATCTGTTTTACTGTAAGATAACATGTATGTACTACATTATGTCTGTTTTACTGTAAGATAACATGTATGTACTACATTATGTCTGTATTACTGTAAGATAACATGTATGTACTACATTATATCTGTTTTACATGTGCAAGATAACATGTATGTACCACATTATATCTGTATTATGATAACATGTATGTACTACACTATATCTGTTTTACTGTAAGATAACATGTATGTACTACATTATGTCTGTATTACTGTAAGATAACATGTATGTACTACATTATATCTGTTTTACTGTAAGATAACATGTATGTACTACATTATGTCTGTATTACTGTAAGATAACATGTATGTACTACATTATGTCTGTATTACTGTAAGATAACATGTATGTACTGCATTATGTCTGTATTACTGTAAGATAACATGTATGTACTACATTATATCTGTTTTACTGTAAGATAACATGTATGTACTACATTATGTCTGTATTACTAAAGATAACATGTATGTACTACATTATATCTGTTTTACTGTAAGATAACATGTATGTACTACATTATGTCTGTTTTACTGTAAGATAACATGTATGTACTACATTATGTCTGTATTACTGTAAGATAACATGTATGTACTACACTATATCTGTTTTACTGTAAGATAACATGTATGTACTGTATTACTGTAAGATAACATGTATGTACACATTATATCTGTATTACTGTAAGATAACATGTATGTACTACATTATGTCTGTTTTACTGTAAGATAACATGTATGTACTACATTATATCTGTATTACTGTAAGATAACATGTATGTACTACACATGTATGTACTGTAAGATAACATGTATGTACTACATTATATCTGTTTTACTGTAAGATAACATGTATGTACTACATTATGTGTCTGTCATTACTGTAACATTAGATAACATGTATGTACTACATTATATCTGTTTTACTGTAAGATAACATGTATGTACTACACTATATCTGTTTTACTGTAAGATAACATGTATGACTACATTATGTCTGTATTACTGTAAGATAACATGTATGTACTGTACTGTAAGATAACATGTATGTACTACATTATATCTGTATTACTGTAAGATAACATGTATGTACTACATTATGTCTGTTTTACTGTAAGATAACATGTATGTACTACACTATATCTGTTTTACTGTAAGATAACATGTATGTACTACATTATATCTGTATTACTGTAAGATAACATGTATGTACTACATTATATCTGTTTTACTGTAAGATAACATGTATGTACTACATTATGTCTTACTGTAAAGATAACATGTATGCACTACATTATATCTGTTTTACTGTAAGATAACATGTATGTACTACAATATATTTGTATTACTGTAAAATAACATGTATGCAATACATTATGCCTGTATTACTGTAAGATGGCGTGTATGTGCTACAGCAACAGCGTGTATATTTTTTTCATTTTGCATATGCAGTGCTATGTACTGTATCGTATTGTGGATGTAATGCAGTCAAACTGTGTACCTACTGTGTAGGTATTAAAGTAACAGTGTCATAATTCTACAACATTGTATGAACAGATCTGTAATACTGTATCATACTGTGTATGTATCACTGTAGCGACACCATGTCTCGGTAATCATATTGTTAATATGCTGTGTGATATTGTGTATACATTTGTATGAATGCTTAAGAAACTGTTTCTTCCCGTTTATGTACAGTAACACTGCTTATCTTGTTGCACGTGTGTCTTCAGTGTCTTTACTATATTGTAGAATACAGTGCATATGTATTACAGAGACAGTGTTAATAACTGCCACACTGTGTACACTACACTGTGGCTGCTTGTCTGTAACAATGTACTTGTGTGCACCAATGCTACTGGGATATATCACCGACACACCGAGATAAGGTGCTATTTCTCGTATATGTTCCAGGGTGAATTGATCCGTCAAAGACGCTTCTTGTCGATAGATGGCACCACATGGAAGAGCAACTCGCACGCACCAGGATACGCTGCAACAAATTGACGTGTAATTTAGTATAGCCACATTAGCGCTCCACCCTCACATGAAACACATTCATGCACACTTTGCTGGGTTCATCTGCTGGTGTTACTCCAAAATTATTGCCAGATATAAAATATGCAATATCACATTATAGAAATCCCCTTCTTTTCTATTAGTTTTGGCTCATCTTCCTTGAGTCGAACAACAATGAATTGCAAACGGTTATTTGTAACTTCAATTGGATACTATGAAAACACATTGAACCCAGTTCAGTTGTCCTATATGTAGAGAATCTAACCTGAATGTCTTTTGATATCAGATATATCTCCACGAGTTGATAAAGTTACGAATATCCGATTCGCGCCGAGGATATTTTCACTTCTATCAACGAGTGTTGATATATTTCATATCAGAAGACATGAAGGTGAGATTCTATTTATCATAAAAATTCACTCTTCATTAGTTTTCAATGAAATCTCTGGAAGCGGTTCTGTCATTTGACTTGCAGTTCAGCGATGTCATAGCATTGTAACGTCATCCAGTTCATGACGTCATAGCATTGTCAGGACATTGTACATATCTACTGGCAAAATGATATCTCCTAGGAGATATCGTTTGATCTCACACAAGCAATATCTCCTGTGGAATACAGTTTTGGATGATAAAACAAATTTCCGGGTACGGGACAAGGTCCGTTCTTATACTATTATCGATATAGATTGGTATTTTTAAGCACGGCTTTTCCTTATTAAAAGGACCTGGCTTCGAGGGTTTTCGCTCTTACTGTATATAATACGGGGCAGCACCACACATTAGTCCAAGCTGATATGAACAGTATGCAAGTACAGGTAAAGCAAGAATACCTGTACGTGAACGTGTCTGGCGAGTTGCATGGCTGTGGTAGGTCTGGGAACGGTCACTCTGGAAATGATAAGCAAATAATGAAGAAAGATTCACGTGTGGAGACATTTTAACACATACTTCTGGTGGCGTCAAGATTAAATACGAATATTCAATAGAACTGATTGTATAGTTTCATGTCTGTAGTTTCTATTACCACGTTTGCTATGCTGTGTTGGCGTTTCTAACACTCTTAAGTCGTGATATATTTCAGCGTCTAACCTTTGTCTAAGATTGCATTCGTCATAAGATTTACATTATCATATGCTTTTGTCTTGTGCTTTTGCATGTCTCTTGACATTTACCCCATAGACACGTCTGCATTCATATATAACCACAGTTTCGAAGATATCGTCCAAGATGGTACAGAACCACGAGGTACATCATCGTTTTGGCATAACCCTAAGGCAGAATTACCCGTAGATACAAGCGCACACCAGTGGTTTGGTATCACCCTAAGGCAGAATTACCCGTAGATACAAGAGCACACCAGTGGTTTGTCTTTACCTCAGGACAGAATTACCCTCAGATACAAGACTTAGAGCAAACCAATGGTTTGTGATGTTTGTGTTTTAGACATGATCGCTCGATTATGTTCGCATTAGTGGATATATTATTCAAAGGGACATATTGATCAACACTACGAAGTATCAGTGACGGATATTACATGCTGAAACAAAATGACGGAGCAACAAATGCATATATTTACATGAACGATGTCATGCACTAAATCTGGTCTAAATGAGCTGACATACCATTATGTCGGGAAGTGATCAAGTTGTGCAACAAGGCCGAGGTACTGTGTGGCTTCCCGAACACATGAGGAAGGTCCTGCACGGTGTCTTTTCGTTTCCCGAGAAGGATGGTATAGCACGTCGTGGTGCCTCTCCCCGAGAACAGAGGGATGGTGTATAACGGGGTGGCTCGCCTCTCGGGTACAGAATGATGTTGTATGAGGACGTGGTGTCCCTGGCCGAGAACAGAGGGATGTTGTATAACGGGGTGGCTCGCCTCTCGGGTACAGAAGGATGTTGTATCAGGACGTGGTGCCTCTCCCCGAGAACAGAGGGATGGTGTATAACGGGGTGGCTCGCCTCTCGGGTACAGAAGGATGTTGTATCAGGACGTGGTGTCTCTTCCCGAGAACAGAGGGATGGTGTATAACGGGGTCGCTCGCCTCTCGGGTACAGAAGGATGTTGTATCAGGACGTGGTGTCCCTGGCCGACTACAGAAGGATGTCGTACCAGGGCGTGGTACGTCTCCTGGGCATGTGGGGGAGGTTTCGCTTCCCGTGCACAGGTGCATGGTATATCTCGGGGATGATGTACCGAGAATGAGTCATTCGTCGATGTTGACACGATTAAATTATGACGTGATGACGTAAGAGAGTACAATGTCCCTCCATCAGAGCTCTCTCCGTGATACTGATGGAGGGGAGAGTTAGCTGGATGAATGGTTCAACAAGCCCTACAGCCCCAAACTGAAGGTATATACTGACAACAACGCTTCTTCTGGTCCCATTAATGTTCCTAACGTCGCTAAGCGACGAATGACTGAAAATGAGGTATCGAATGCTGATGTATATATATATGTGATAGGGATGAATAAATACTAGGTACAATGATGTGAAAATATATCCAGGTCCATGTCTTCGATATCGATGAGAACTCTTACTCCCATGTGCTCTCACTTTGGGCACAGTCTTGTTGGAGTTATCCCGCTTAATCCATTCAAAATATCACAAACACAAAGGTTAGAATGACGTGAGGAAAGACGGAGTAGTGTCGTCGTGAAGGAGTTCGTCACCTTGGACACCAGACACATATTTTTAAAACTGTCAAAACAAGCATGAGAATTAAAAATGTAAAATTGTGGGAAGAATAAGTCCCGTTGTTGGAGCTAGTTGCTCCACTTGTAGAATTTTTCGGAGCTGTACCTGAAACAGAAACATTGAATATTTAATTACTTGACCAACCAACGTGTACATTTATAAGGCAGCTTGTAATATAATGTTAAGTCAAAATACCACCGTCTTACAATTACAAATAGAATATTGTAATAATAATATTGTGATAATATGGACGAAAACTACACGGCATGGATGAACCAACACTTTAACATGCACTGCAGTTGACATATTTTCACCAGCTTTAGATACAACCACACGATTCTTATAGTGCCTAACACATCTTACACGAAATGCACCTACCTCTTTTCCAGTTGGAAGTATCGGCTGAAAATGAATAAATTCGGTATTAATAGAAACCAGGTTGCTGATTATTTCATAACATAGTGAGATTGTTTTAACGCCGCTTTAGACTATTGGTCAAGGTGACCTTGACGAAATGCTTACGGCGCCATCAGTCTTTGATTGTGATCCCTGCTTGTGATGTACGTAATTCGTACAAGGACTTATCGCAACAGTCTTGTGGCATTTAATGTGTTGGAAGAATGCCAGTTACAACACAGCGTTTTGAGGAAATAATTGTTTTTGTAACCACAACATTGCTTTACACATTCTGTGTTGATGGAGTAAGGACACAATCATGATTATCCTTACTTTTTAATACGTTGACTCTCGCACTTGTAATCTGGAGATCAGACGTCCGGCAAACGTACATCCCAGCATCCTCCAGAGTTGCATCCTTTATCTCAAGAATGCTGACGATTGTCTTGGTTGTCAAGGAAACAAACTTCCTTATATACACCTTATTTGCATATTGGGTTAAAAGTTTATTCCCGTTTTTGAACCAGTCCAGATCATCGGGTGGGTGGTCCTTGCCTGTGGCATTGCACATGAGAAGGATCGTATCCCCTTTCTCTACAAACGGTTTACCTGTAATTTGTATATCTGAAAGTAAATGTACAGATAAAAACAGATGAGTTAATGGCGGATTTTGTTTGCTTGACAAAATAATGATTGAAAGAATAACGTTTTTATATCACATTTAAGTGAGAAAGAAAACAAACGTTAATAGAGTGAAAGTCACAACTACGAATGATTCACGATGTATATATCAGAGAAGACGGCATTTGACGGTCGAATAGAACACCCCTTCTGTTCGACCAAAACATTAACTGTATCAATGATATATTGGCATTGACCGTTTTTCCTTGTGCATCTTTTACAATCTGCTTCAGTCCATCAGTCCTCGCATATTGGGGACACTGCTTTAAGTGGTTAAGATTTCTAATGCCAATGGAAAGGGGCTTTGTTGATCTTATTTACCTTACAGGGTCAGTCACCTAAGAATGCCAAAAAATCATTGACCTGACAACGAACAAGAGCGAATCCTTTTTGAACAAGTAAACATTTCAAAGGTTTATACTATAATCGCTATCATCGCCACCCAAACAGCTAGTGACACGTTATGAAAAATGAATCTGACACTCTGGTCATGGGGACTCAAGGACTCACACAGCCAAGAAGCTTAAACCTAACATATAAACTATTAACTGTTAGCTACCCTCTACTGGAGGATCAAAGGCGTTGATTAATTCCCAATGGGGACTAATGTGGGTGGTGAAGTGTTGTTGAAAAGAAAGAAGAAGAGAAGCGCCGTAAATGTCGACGAAGTGTTCTTCTCCACAAGAACAATGTTAATGGCTGCTATACGGGGCTGGGGATACGAGCTTCTGTCTCATCTACCATATTATGGAACATTGGTCCTAGTGACAACCGTGAACTGGTTGCAGGTTGCCTTGCCTCTGCATGTACCTGTTGAGGGTGCCACCGATTCGGCACGATACGCCCACGTTTTCGAGAACACCTGTTATCACCAATATTTGAAAGTGAGTGAGTAAATGCTGTTTTAAGCCACATCAGACACTTTGCAGCTATTCATGGCTATAATAGTGATTCATAAACACATTCTCACGACAGAGTATGAACCATCCATCACGCCCTGCCTTCAGCTTCCGTATGACTTCGGGACTTTACTGCGTATATGTAGTTGCAGTTGGGTCAAAGTTGAAACAGCAAGGCGCTACAATATTTCAGTTATATGTGTCTTAGTCTTAAAATGTTTTGATACTGTATCGGAATGACATTTTACGATACATTACAAAATATAAAACAATTCGGTAAAGTGACAAATTAAGAAAACTACAGATACAAACCCAAAGACTAATGTATTATAACGCTGTTTGACAAGCACATCAAGCCACGACAGGCACTAGTAACAGGCAAAGACAGCTTGTAGGAATCCATCGAAGTATCAAAATTCACAAACTACACGAAGGAATGAAATAATTTTCTATGACGTTTCGCTATCGATTAAGAAAATCAAGGTGATGTTTCTTCCTCCAACGACAAAACGCAATGCCACACTTACACACAGACACGCAGTGCAGCACATAGTGACGATGCACAGCAGTTGCTAGAACAGCAAGCACGGAAGAATGTGATTCTCCGTGATAAGAAAACTATGGTTGACTGATTGCAAACATGATTTATGCGGAACCCCAATTGCCATGCCACAGAAAGAGAAATTTCAACACGACATTGATGAATTACCGTAAAGATCACCAAGAATTATTCCAGGCCTTCCAGACAGATCTGTAAATGTTGGTTTCAGAGCGCATTGGTATTGGCCAGCGGGAACAATTTAAGCAGTAATGGGAACCACTTGAGACGTTTTAATATGTACATGGAAAGTTGGAAATAACAGTATGTCAACACACACACAAGCCCAGAGATAACATATGGACAACTGAAGTGATAACGAGGTTGCGGTGACGTTAAAGCATTAGATATATAAATTGTCAACCGACGGAACCATTCTTTCTTGACGAACAACACACACATACGCCAACGTGGTCTAGTGTAGCATATACTATGTTGAACATGACACTGCAACAGCAATGTGTCATAGTGTTGTATAGACCATAGTGCAGATGATGCAGTTACGTCAACGTGTCATTTGTAGTATAAGCCATGTTGAAGATGATGTTGTCATAGCAACAAGCAATTTTGTAATATATACAATATTTATGATGGTGTTGTCACGACAACTTGAAGATTAGTGAAGAACATACCATACTGCGGTTGATACTGTTATAACAAGGTGAGTCATTGTAGTATATACTGTGCTATTTGGTTCGCAAGACATCCATTAATATCCTACCAGAATGCAGGTACATTGTCCGTTAAACACTACTGACGAACAAAGCAGGTGTTTCCCACAGCACACGGGTGAGTGACGTGGAGGTCATGCGGATCTGCTATACACGATGTACTTACCTAACGCTGTTTTTATCGTCCGACGCTCTGAAATATTAAGATGAAACAAACTAGTTACGATTGGTACTGAGGTATCAGGATACAGAACCAAGTAGGGATGCAGGGCATGCTTGGACTGGACAATGATTTGACGTTTAGATTGTTATTATTGTGGATAAGTTACCTGGCTCCCCGATTAATGGACTTCGTAATGAAAAACGTGAGGAGTATTGAAGTTCGTCAACAAATCGCAAACAAGAACTGGGACATCTTTGCATTACTGTTCATGACTGGCTAAATGTGGTGACCAGTTCTCCAAAATATTGATAATAACTGAATGTTTTCATTAATGAATCGAAACTAAAGAAACAAATGTTTCCTTAAAATACTCACCTCTAACAATCAGTAAGATATGTGATCTTAAATGTCGAACCTTTGATGGAACCTGACATTCGTAAATACCCCCATCTTCCAGCTGCACCTTCTCAATGACCAGATGCCATTTTGTCGAGCCTTTAGGGTGGCGTATACTAAATCTGTTATCGTCTATAAACGTAAGAGTTCCCACTGTCAGAGGACTGGACTCGGCGGCTCTTCGCCAGCTCACCTGCAAGGACAATATACATACTTGAAGATGGCGATAGTAGTCCGTATTTGTAATGTTACCCGTCTTCCTTATGGCAGGTTATATGTATCCCTGAGTGATTTCGGGTTACAGTCGCCCTCAACTGGCAATGATGTTCGTAAGGAATGGTCAAAAGGAGCACATAGCTAGGCTTGGTGACCCGCGCATTGTGGCTCACATGAATCACTGGAATGTTTGTTTCAGACTCGAATATTTGCGGGACGCCGTCAAATAAATGGAATAAGGTTCTAAACAATAAGAAAAGCATTTTCATATGATATGACCAATTAATGAGATCAAACAGAGATAAAAAGCGCTTCTCACTCAAGTGATTAAGCTTACACGCATATCAAGATACATCCACTAGTCTTGTTATTATGAGATAATTATGTTTCTTCAATTACAAGAAACAAAATTTAACGGTACAACATTAGGGACTATGCTTTTACTTTAAAACTCAACATTGGTTAAAACGTAATAACAACAAAATCCCTCAGTAAAATATAAAACGCCACAGCGGTATACTCATCTCAAGTCACTGCTCGATCTGATAAACAAATTCTTAGCATCTTCAAAGCATCAGGCGCACCACGTTTTGTAAGATATCTTTCTCGACAATACGATGAACAATAAAATAAACCATTATTCTTCCTCTAAATCCCGAAAAACACCACCATTTTCTTAACATGAAGACTGATAAATCTGGCTCTTTGTAGATTCTTTATTACCACTGCAACGTTCCCATTCAGCGGCATCTCATCTCGAGAAGCGACGCGAGGTTGTTTTACCATCACAGCCTGCCTGCATTCTCCTCCAGTCTTATTAACCTTTGTTACCTTACACTGTTATAATTCAAAATAGTTGCTGCTATTCCAGGCTATGATAACCATTTAATACGACTCCTTTTTATGTTTTAGCAAAATCAAAGGCTGTAATTCGATGCCACAGGGTAATATGGACATTGTTTCAACGATGGGTCTGCTCGATAGCCCCTGCATGTTCAAGCACTATGCGGAACGCCGCACTGCTAAATGACAAGATGAGATTACAGGAGCCTAATGCATACATCTCATGTGATTCCTCGCTTCCTCAAACCAGATCCCCTGTGAGTTATGTAAGACCAAATTAACATCATTGACACTCGGTAATGTAAATTGGCTCTTCTGTGTTCAGATCATGAGACAACAAGGATCAAATCCAAAATTGTTGTTATTCAATTTGTCTGCATGCTTTGAGACAAACCTGGTACTCAAGCAAAATAAACGACAACTTTAGAACAGTGCATATGTACAGTTCATTACCTCTATGCTACTGAAAGACACAAATTATAAATATAGGATTTGACAATTAAGGGTTGATTTTCTCAAGGAAATTATTACTGTAATACATATGTGTCAAGAGAAAATTATTGGATTTGCTAAACAATTTTCAGATCTACGATGCCCTGATTACGAAATCCAACTAAACTCCTTTTAATGAAGCGATGTAACAGCGCTAGACGTTGCTGCCATTATAACCTGTTCCAAAAAGAACACTCTCTTCTGGAGGTTTTGGCATTTCCTCCGCGAGTCAAGCATTCAATGGAATTCCGGCAAGATCTGCTCCGTGTCTGACCAGCATTCAGTGGAATTGTGAAGCGATCATTACCAGCTCCTCCCAACATACTTCACTGAGTCTCGGGGGAAGCATTAGGGTTCAGTTGTGTTAATTTGAGTTTCAGTGTTACTCTGTTAGTTCTAATGCAGTTCTTGTCTGCGATGCTAGCACACTGTCAGCAAGTTTTTGTCAGGAACCTTTGTTCCCTCACTTCCAGAGTGTCGTTGAGGAGAAGTTAAACACACCCAAGAGGTGTTACTTCCACATGATGAGCTACAAGATTGAGATGCGGAAATAAGGCAATTTCATTGAAAAAAAAGACAAGTGACGGTGATAGCCGTTTTTAGACGTATGAATTCATTTCCAAAAAGTTGAATGTCGATTTTTTGTGGTTGATACTGCTTTATTATTAGTCACTTCATGCAAATGTGGACGACGCTTCGAGCAAGTAAGAAATTCGAACTACATGAGGTAACATAAACAAAAGATTATCTGCGACGATTTAATCTCTTAACGTATAAAATACATCGTCAAGACCATGGGTGTCCATGGCTACCGTATTTTGTACACGGTCCTATATACACGCCCCCATGTGATTGTCGTGTGTATGATCACCGGCATGTGGGTCACCTGTTGACCTGGTGTGTTATACTAACACATACACCAGCATATTAACCATACAAACCACGTGATGTGTGTATGATCACACAAATACATTTCTTTGTATGGCAAGCGTTTGAATGAGCACGCACATACACTTACTTGCATGGCTGGTGTATGTGTGGTCACAGATATTGTGTCAGCACATGGTCACACAGGTACAAGCACCTATATGACTGCCTGAATCACACATATTGTATCAGCAAATGGACACACCTGTACAAGCACCTGTATGACTGCCTGAATCACACATATTGTATCAGCACATGGTCATACTACTTGTACAAGCACCTACATAATCTCCCAGGAGATGTCGTTTATGTACGTTTTGTAGCAATAAAAGTTACCACTGGTTTTTATGTGCTTGTTTTTTATGACGTATTGGTGTCACTCTTGTTCACTTGGATGTATTCATACACAAGTCTTGTTACAGGTGACGTTTCGTTTTTAATTTCCTTTGAACGACAAATTAAGAATGATATTAGATATACCACCACGAGTTGATAAACAAGCCTTGGAGTTTTCTCACTTTCAGCAACGAGTGGATATATATTTGATATCAAAAGACACTCCGGTAAGATTCTCTATGTACATTTGTGTATTAATATGAATACCACCTGAATAATCTAGTATCTTAGGATGTGTTACTTATTAGAAATTACTAAATCGGTTTCAGGTGAACGCATCGTTGAACCAATCAGTATGGTTTTTTTCAGTTGAGACTGCAGCAGAGACAACACAACACGCATCTCAAGTTAACAAGAGAAATGAAATGAACAATCAATTTCAAAGTGTATATCTGCTGATGGTCTCGACACAACCAGTCAGTTCTGGGAACGACCACACTTGAAATCCTACTCACCTTCGACATTTGCCAGCTGTTGAGATGCCCTGTGATGCATGCATATGGGAGCGACATAAACACTAGTGAAATGTGTTACATTAGCAATATGTTACTCTCTGAAAACAAACCATTACCGCTTTGGTTTACAGAGAAAACAATCCTTCGCAGGTGCAATTAAACAAGTTGGTGTAGATTTCCAAGAACTGGGATTTGTCGGTTCTCACCAGAAACAAAATGTTCGATGCAGAAAGATCATGTCACATCATATGGACAACTAAATATTGGAAAGGGATACTTTTAAATTCTATTATCCTGTCAAACATAATTACCGTTGTCAAAATTTGAATGGAATTATAATTACAACAAGCGAAATGTCACCGGATTTGGAAAAAAATCTCACTCAATAAAAATGTACATGTTGTATAAGCAATTATTCCTTCTGTCAAGAAACTGACAAAGCAAGATATAATATTTATTCACTTACGTCTAGGTAAAGGTTGTTAGCTCTACATACATCTCTGACTTTAGTGATCAATTTGGCTGGGGTTCAAGAATCTCGAGTAGCATCAAAGTCTTTCATTCACAAATTATCGCGAGCATTGAGTGCATTACACAAACTCAAATGACATATTTTTAAACTACTGAAACCGTGTAGTTAGTAACAAAACGCCACAGCAGAAAAGTGAGCAAAAATGTCAAAGAGTGTCGTGTACGTAATTCGTATTCTTGAATCAACATCCCTTGTTGTCCGTTCTCGATGGTGTACTCGCACATGCTGGTGATAGCTGCTTATGAATGATACCTGCCACAGCGGCTGTGGCTGAAATACGACCCCATCCATATTTACACAGTCGGAGTTAGCTCCCGTTGAACTAAATAAACTGACAGGTATTTCTTCACTTGTTCGAATTTATTTTGGGTTGACTGCCGACAGAAGTGACTAATTCCACTACCTCAGGATTCTTATCGTAGCAAAACATGTTTCAAAGGCCAAAGTAAATAAACATCCTTCACTCCTTATCGCCGTTAACCTATGTTTGTGGCACAGCATGGTTATATAGCATGTATGCATTTCATTATGATATTTGAGTTCACAAGCCAACATAATATATTTCAGCTTTATTCTAATAACGTCCTTATGTTTGTTATGGGTGATGTTGGGTTCAGTTTCAACATTACAGATGGAGTGATGTCGGAAAAACGTTGGTGCTTATCAGAGGAGCTATTGTATTGCATCATTGTCGGTAGAAAGAGACGACATGAAAGAAAAAGGGTATTTCAAAAAGCTTCTTTCTACAGGTTTAACGACCTTCATTATACATATCCATTTTGTTCATTCTTTTATGCCAAATATTCTATTACAGCTGCCACTTCGCCCGATACACTGTCGCTACAGTGTGTTTTTTTTATCTTGCAGAACAACGTTTACTGGTTATTTTCAACTGATTGATAACAGACCGTGACACAAAAGGAAGGGAAATGTTCATTTTTTTGACTAGACGGCTTTGAAACCAAATTGTGTAAGAAGCAAGAATTTTGCAGCTTTGTGGCCGCGACATGGACGTTTACGGACATCATTTACGTAGTTACATGCGTGTACAGTACAGCAGTTTACCTTCAGACATAAGCTGTTTCTGGAAACATATATGGAATATAGAAGTCCATGTACTTATTTCGGTACATCACTTAACAATTCTATCCACATCAGCCTCCGGACATGCCTGGCTAACAAAATGTCTGGTGCGAGCGTTTGTCTCCTGCCGTTCGACAAGGGTTCAACTGACACAAAAATACCACTGGCATTATCTGTACCAGAACATATTTATTCTTCATCAAGGGATGCAACGAGTCCTAAACTCGTGTGGACAATATAGGCAGATTC